AAATCTAAATTTCATGAAAAGTTTGTTCTATACATCAATATACCTTCAGTGCTTACTCAGCTCTAGACTATGATAAGTGCTCAAAATATTTTTGAAATAAATGGATAAATGATTATCCTATATTTACATGTCAAACAGCTTTAAGGTATTGATCAAATATCCCTCGTTGGCTTGGAGATCCCAATGGCAGGAAATTATCAGTGTTTGTGGTCAGTCCTCTACTTTTTCCCTGAATTATTCACAAACATGCCAACAGGGATATACTAATCTTAATAGATCAGAAAGTTTATGTTTATCACTGGCCTTTGACTTCAATTAATTGACAATTATCAAGGCTTAGATGATACCTGACATAAAATACAGGATACCTGTGAACACTCTAACCTTTGAGACATGAATCCAAAGTATCCAAAGGAGGCTAATCTTTATATTCAGGACCATAGTTTGTATAACTAATGCTCCAAGTTCTCATGGGAGTCAGGATGCACCTGAAATTTTTACAGGACAATTGGAAATGTTGTTTATCAAAAGATAAGGACCACAGTTAGGACCTCAGGAAAAAGATAAAAAGCTCCCCACTTATGAATGTTCATTATTATGGTGAAAAAGCCGGGTACATAGGGGAAAGGGGTTAGGGCATTTAGGGTTTAATTCAGACATTGGAGAAGACTGGTCTATGTGAAATTAAGAAACTTTTATCCTTAAAACTGGCCTTTGAATCTCACAATGTCTGCTGCTCTGATGGCAGTAGGTATACTGAGAGAATTTACAGATTTTACAGATACTACTCTCTTTCCAACTCTACCCTGGGACTTTAAACGGGAGACTGGTGTCAGTAAGAGCACTCCCTCACCTAAGTTGGGACCATGGGAGTTATCCAAAGTATTCCTTATTCAACCTATTATACCCATCGAACAATAAACAATTTCTACCAATTCTCTCTCCTAAATCTTTCTCAAGGTTGTTCTCTCCTTATTTTGTATTTTTCTATCACTGAGATTCAAATCTTTGTCCTCTGTCTCCTGGAGTATTGTAAATTGCCTCCTAACCAGGCAGCCTCAAAGATATGCTTCACTTTGTTGTCAGAATGATCTAAATATATCTAAACATTTTACTTCCTGTCAAAAGGCTTTCAATAGTTTCTCATTGCATAAAATATACCTTCACATCAAATGTAAGACATTTTATGACTTGTAAACATCACCTATTTCCACTTCTTCTTACCCCACATTTAATGCCTCATAAATATAGAATGACATGCAATTTCCCAAACACCTGCTATTTTATCCCTATGTGCTATTGATAATGCAACTTCTAATACCAGGAACACCTTTTCACTGCCCTACCTCACTTAACTAGTCATGTTGTAAGACCAAGTTTTAGTGCTTTATTCTCCAGAAAGTGTTATTCTATAATCGTGGCTGGGAAAATGTCTCTTTCTTTAGGCATACTGTTCCTCATTGCACTTACCATTTTGTAAGTACCAAATTACTTCTAGACAAGTAAACATGTATGTGTTTTATTTTTTGGTATTGTTGCTGTTGTTTGTTTGCTTGTTGTCTTGTAAGGTGACAGAGCTAGCTGTGACTTTATTTTGGAAAATAATAAATAAAATTAATTTATTTTTAGTTGGTGGCATGGGCAAGAGGGACAGAATTCCCCCCAAGGGTGGCCTGAGGGCTAGGACTGGGCCTCAGATGGGTATCCCGTTCCCTATTCTTACCTGCACAACTGCCTCCCTCACAAGCTCTGGAACAGCCACAAGAAGGGATAGGATGGGAGGAACTACAGAGGCAGTTAACTTGGGCAGGACATCAGAGGTCTCAGACACCAGCTTCCCATCTCAGGTCTTGATCTCATCACAACCAGGATCCTGGAGGAGCTGGCGTGGCTGAAGGAGCTGAAGCTCCCACTGGAGCCAAAGTTGGACTGGAAGGAGTCCAGGCCATGGCTGAGGTCAGAGCTTTTGAGCTCAGCCCGCCTGAGTAGCCTCTGGTGGTCTTCGTGTGGATATTCATGTTCCACATCCCAGACTCCAGCCAGCTCTCCCTGCCCTCCAGCAGCATCCTGTAGGTGGTGATCTCAATGTCCAGGACCAGCCAGACCTTCATCAGCTCCTGGTACCCTCGCAGCTGTAGGGCACGTCCTCCCTGGCTCGTTGCAGAGAGCCTCCAGCTCCACCAGCTTGGCACTGGCATCCTTAACGACCACCTCCCCACACTGCAAGGCCTCCGCAACAGCAGCCTCCAGGAAATCCTCTGGCCTCTAAGCCCCTCAGTCTCAGCCCAGAGCCAGCTGATGTTCTAGTTTGTCTCGCAGATCTTCAAATGCCACAGATCATCCCGATGCTCCCCAGCCAGCATCTGTAGCTCCTCACACTTGATCTGGTGCAAGCTCTCAGACTCGCCGGGCTGTGGCTGGCCATCTCTGCTACTAAGCGCAGACTTGGAGATGATGCTGTTCATGTCCAGGGAGCTGCTGTTGTCCATGGACAGGACCACAGATGTGTCTGAAGTCTGATACTGCAGCTCAAAGATCTCCTCTTCACACAGCTGCCTGAGGAAGTTGATCTCTCCAGTTAAGCCCTTCCAGGTGAGACTCCAGCTCTACTTTGTTCATGTAAGCTTCATCCACATCTTTCTCAATGAGAAGAAATTCACTTTCCATCTCCATATACATGTTGATCTCATCCTTACATTTACTCGAAGTCCTCCACCAGCCCCTGTATGTTGCCAAGCTCCGCCTCCAGCTTCAGCTTCTTCTAGCCCAGTGGGGTCCACTTCCAGCTTAAGAGGCTCAGCAGGCTCTGGCTCACCATGACAGCTGTTGTGCCTCCACACCAACGGACCTGGTATAGCCTCCACCCAAAACCAACTGAGGGCCCTGTCACCCTAGAAGGTGCTGCTGCTGCTGTCCACCCAAGAAAAGCTGGAGGAGCCAATGTGGGCTCCGGGCCCACTCCTGTAGGAGCCGCTGCTGAAAGTCCCGGACCAGAGGTGGACACCTTGTAGGACTTCTGGTTCACCCTGATGGACGTGGTGGAGGCTGGAGTGAAGGCAGATGGGCTAAATCTGACAGAGATTGGAGAAGGAATGAAAAAGCTGCTTCTAGGTGGGGACACATATGTTTTATACAATAAGTATTTAGAGGCCAGACAATGGCTTTTCTTTAAAATCAGCACAATACCTGACACTAAGTAAGTGCTCAGGAAATCATAATGTTGAACTGAACTGTCTCCAACAACATTGAGAAAAGAGTACCTTAGGTTCTGCATCTCTCTAACGTGCAAGATGCATGACTAAAGGATTGGAAGACCTTGCCAAGGTCACAGGGATTTACAGTGTCTCTACAGTTCTGCTGTACATAAGTGGAAGGAGGATATACTCTCCACTACTCAAAGGGGAAACTCAGGCAGCTATGTTCTGCCTGTTCTCAAAACATCCACGCGGTTTTGAGTGCCTAGTATGTGTCAAGTCTCTTGCGTATACTATTAAACTTTCTCTACTTTTAATGATTTTTATTATAAGGTATTAAGAGAAACTCAAAATGGAAAGTGCCTAAAACCCCATTATTTATTTATTTTCTGTGTTTTAGTTTTTCCTTGTTACCTCTCACTCCGTGTTCTGTATTTTCTATTTAGAAATTTGCCAGAATATTATCGATACTCTATATTTTCACTTAACAACGTATTTTAAATACTTTTCATTTTGTTAAAAAAAACTTTCTATGTGTCTCAACCCTCACGTCTCTCTTTCTATTACACTGAGGTAAAAAGGACAGTTGGATTCTAAGTCTTACTCCCAGACGCCAGAGACAGTTGTTTCAATATTTGCTTTGAATTGGTAGTTCCTGTATTCCAGCAAACCTCTCCTCATCCTTTCTAGTCTTATGGTGATAATGTAAATGATAGTAAGTCATTCTCCAAGAAAAACATTTAGTTAATCTGATGTGCAACAACATTTTTGTTTCGTTGTTATGGTTGTTTTTTAACGGGTTCCCATTTCTTTATCAATTCAGACCTATGGAACTACAATTGTTGTTAACACATTAATTGCAATGCTTAGAATTAAAGGACACTGTTTTTAATCACTACAAATAAATATTACATTATGCCAAAGGAAACTATTTGTTTTTAACATGCATTAAAATATGGATAAACTTCCAGCTAAATCATGTGGTCTTGGTGTTAAGATCTGGTCTCCTAAAAGATGGCAAACAATCCAGTTTTCAAATTTTCACCCTCATACAGTCTACACAACCTAGACCCTTTAGTGGTAGGGTTTGTTCAAAAAATCGATGCAAAGTTCCAGCTTAAGCTTGATTGTCCTGCCCAAATCTTCTAACTCAGTAGCAATGTTGATGTCATTAGGCTGATGGTCATGGTCTGATATAGGTTAAGTGCATAGACCCTGGAAACAGAGGCCTTGAGTCTACATCTATATGGAAAAACTATTGTATCTTTCAATACAGTTTTTTCAACTGTAACTTGTGGGAAATTTACTCCTGCATCATAAGATTGCTAAGAAAATGAAATGAAATAACGTAATGGTTTTGGAATCAGACTTTCTGGATTCAAATACGTACTGGTCCCACATTTAACTTCATGACTTTGGACATTCTACTTAATGTCTCTGTGCCCACATGATTTATTTGTGAAATACAAATAATGGCATCACTTCATAGGGTTATTGTGTGGAATAAATTAATTAATATATGTAACATGCTTAGAACAGGGCCTGACACGAACTAAGTAAAAGTTATTGTTTGCGAAATAAATTAAAGGAAAATCCTTGGCATCTACAAGAGTTTAATAACAGTGATAATTATTACTGTTATTATTACTGATTTATAGGTGTCTCCAAATTGGTCTACAAGTATTTAAAAGTGAAAGTCAGAGCAAATAAATGTAATTTTAAGCAATCAGCTAAGCAGTATTTGATAGGTCCTAAGTGTGATACCGATAATGAAAACCTTATAGGTCGTCTGAAATATTCTTGATCCTAAGAATATATTCTGAGAGTTGCCTTTCTTAGTGCCTCCTTTACATCTCTGTTCCTCAGACTATAGATAAAGGGGTTCAATATAGGGATTACCACTGTATAGGACAGAGATATCAATCTGTTCTGGCTAGTTGAGTAACTGGACTTGGGCATCACGTAAATGAAGGTAATCGTTCCATAGTAGAGAGTAACCACTGTGAGGTGGGAGGAGCAGGTGGAGAAGGCCTTGTGGCGCCCCTTGGCAGAGCACATCTTCAGGATGGTGATGAGGATGTAGATGTAGGAAACAGCTATGACAAATACTGTGACCACAATGATAGAGCCAGAAGAGATGGAAGGGATCTCTATTTCAGGAATAGAGATATCTGAGCAGGAAAGTTTCAGCAAAGGAGAGATATCACAGAAAAAATGATCTATCTGATTTGGTCCACAGAAAGACAACCTCAATAAACAACTAGAAAATGTTGAGGTATTCACACATCCACCCAGGTAAGAAGCCCCCACGAAGAGGATGCAGATTCTGGGGGACATGTGGGTAGAGTATTCCAGGGGCAAGCAGATGGCCACATAGCGATCATAGGCCATGGTTGCCAGCAAGAAGCACTCAGCTGTCCCAAACATGACTACAGAACAGAGCTGGGCTTCACAGCTAGTGACAGGGAGGGCTGTTCCATGCTTTAGGAATCCCATAAGCATTATAGGCGTGACTACTGTGGAAAGCCCAATGTCCACAAAAGCCAAATGGCTGAGGAACACGTACATGGGGGTGTGAAGCTGGGAACAGCTTCTTATTAAAATGATTATGCTGATATTGCCTATTAAGGTGACAATGTAGATTCCTAGAAATATCACAAAGAAGATGTTATGAAGTGTAGGATCCTCAGTTAACCCTAAAATGATAAACTCTGTCACTGTGGTGTGGTTTCCAATCTCCATCTTCTCTGTGAATTGTTCCTGTTGAAAAAAATGTGAATATTAATTTGTTACAGGATTCTATTTCACACATTCCCAGCTTTCACTGGCTATTCCTCAGACCCATTCACAGTGACTTCATTTTCTGCATGATTTGTGAATATTGATGTCCTACAGGATTGTTCTTGTTTTTATGTCTCTTCTGCATAAAAAGAGAATGATTCAACTTCATTTTCTGGGAAATTAGTTCCATTCTTTTCTGTATATAGTAAATATATTAAAAGGCCTCTCATACCTATACTTCTAAACATCTCTCAAAGGATGTCCAGACTACCATTTCAATGATCTATTAGGAGTCTTCAGCTGGAAATTCCACAAGTACCTCAAACACAGCCTTCCCCATACCAAATTCATTCATTCTTTTCTGTGGCATTCTTCTCTTTCCTTCCATATTTTGTATCTGGGGAGTGACACCACCATCGACCTAGTCTCTTGTGTCTGCAACTTGGGAGCCCTCCTAGGCTTCTTCCTCTTGTTGTATCACAACTAATAAAATCTTATTGAGCCTATCTACAAGTTAACTCTCAATTTTATCTCTTTATCTCTGTTTTACTATTCCCAGCATCCCCACTTTAGTCAAGGACCCAGTCATTTTCCTTTCTATTTTATTAACCTATTTACTTCACTGCCTTCATTCTTGTTTGCAACACATTTGTGTAAGTGATTTCTTGGTAAATAAAAAGCACATGATTCCAAAGAGATTCGTTTCAGTCTTTCAGTACTCTCTCAAGCCTTCACAGTGAAACCTAACTTGTTAGCACAGCATACAGCATCCTTTGTGTTCCTGCGTGTGAATTCCTGCTTGTCTTTCAGGAAGTTTCCATTCACCACTCATGCTGACTCAAACTTCTTGAACTATTTAGAGTCTTCTTAATGTACTGTAATTTCTTTGGCCTTTGCTCTGCTTTTTCTCCTACATAGACAGCTATCACCTCGCACTGTCATTACCCTGGGTGAGTTCTACACATCTTCCAAGATTAATCTCCCTCCAAAGCCTTCTCTGACTCCCAGGGGTGGATCAGGTAAACTTCATTTGTATTATAGGCATCATGTCTAGATTACCTTCATTTATACTGGGTTGTGATTTTTGTTGTTACTTGTTTTTTTACTGTTCATTCTTCTCAATGAATACACCTTATCTTCCATAACTGCACCCTATCCCTGTATTACAAATATCGACTTCTTGTACATACAGTGCTGAAAAAAACTTGTTCGATGAATGAATGCATGATTATAGTAATAAATAGGATCTGTGAAACAAGAGATGAATAAAGTTTAGTTTCTCTGTCCAGAGAAAGCAGACCTCATAGAGAAGGAAGAAAAGGAACATATTAGTTTATGAAAAGCACTGTAATAATAGTATAAGTAAAGAAAGGGCTTATTTTATTTCTAAACAAAAATTATATAAGCAGGCTGGGGAAACACTTGAAAATTCAAAAGAAACATTTCTTTCAAATCTGGCTGCCATCACACACATCAACTATTAGAACTTTAGCACACATGTTTCCAGGAATTTATTTCCTATGGATATTATTTTTATATGATTTGTTTCATATTATAGATAAATTTCTTTTTAAGTTTTATTTTTAATTGATAAGTAATTGCATATATTGTGGAATACAATGTGAAGTTTCAATGGAACGATCAAAGTGCAGATAATGTGAGCAAGGCCAGAAACTTAACAATTGGCTTATTTTGTCTGCTCCTAGGAACGAAAGTCATACATGATACTGTAAGAAAAGCCCGAAATCCATGGTGGGCTCCCTAATAGGGCTAATGGAAGAAAATATGGTGGTAATGTTCAAGTAATGGATATACCCATGAGGGTCCCTACTGAACACCTGTGCTTATGCCAATAGCTGTTGTTACTGAGCTGTGACTACAGCAACTGTCATCAACCAATCTGATTGTTAAATATATGGATAGCTCCCTCTATCAAATGATAATGGTATGCCTTACAATATTCTTCCTTTCTCCTGACAGAACTGGAGTGACCAGTTCAAAAGCACTGATAATGCAACTCTGATTCACTGGTGATTGTCTCCACCTGGAGGCCCAATTGCCAACATATTGGAGACCTAAAAATATGTGCCCTTATAGACACTATCTGTTGCACCTATATCCCAGATTAAGTGAATAATGTCACAGATGTTTTAAATTATTTGTCAGTCCAGATCCATGATATAACCGAATTAGGCTTCTTGGACTTATTCTCAAATTAGTTACACATTCTACCTACACATTGGCGTATGTTTTGCTAATAGGCATTATAATTGTAGTTATCCTCTGCTTTTTTGCTGTTGCGTATATGGTGTGTGCTTTTTATGCTGTTGTGGATATGACCTGTATGCAAAAGCCATAGCTATGTATTATAAATTTGTATGTTTCTTTCCCTCTTACCCTACTCGGGGACTTTTGTGCAAGATTCCAGAAAGAATGTAAGAGCTGAGGGACAGGGTAGACTGTAATGTGACAGGTCCCCAACCAAGTTACTTAAAGGTGTACGTTCACTGCCTAAACCCTGAAGAAACTAAACACCCTGGAGCATAGCTGGGAACATACCAGGAAAACAGTCCTATCGTCTCTCTCACACACACACACACACACACACACACACACTGACACACACTACGGAATGAGCCACAAAATTAGCTTAAAAGCAGCTTAGAGATGGGTGGGAGGGTGAATCTCCAGAGATGTCCTGCTGCCATTATACAGTTACCTCACAACACACAAAACAATTAACTCAAATACATATATAAATGCAATAGCTAAAACTACAAATTGTTTGAAAGAAAACACAAAAGAATGCCTCTGTGGTCTTGGGTATTTCAGCAAAGTTTTTAAGCTACAATACCCAAAGCAAAATATATAAATGAAAAATCAAAAATTGGACTTCTCAAAATTTAAAACTTTTGCTTTTCAAAAGACCCCACCAAGAAAACGAAGTCAAGGCCGGGCGCAGTGGCTCACACCTGTAATCCCAGCACTTTGGGAGGCCCAGACGGGCGGATCACGAGGTCAAGAGAACAAGACCATCCTGGCCAACATAGTGAAACCCCGTCTCTACTAAAAATACAAAAAAATTAGCTGGGTGTGGTGGCGCACGCCTGTAGTTCCAGCTACTAGGGAGGCTGAGGCAGGAGAATTGCTTGAACGCGGGGGGGTGGGGAGGGGCGGAGTTTGCAGTGAGCCGAGACTGCGCCACTGCACTCCAGCCTGGAGCCTGGCGACAGAACCGGACTCTGTCTCAAAGAAAAAAAAAAAAAAAAAAAAAAGGAAAGAAAAAGAAAAGAAAAGAAAATGAAGTCAAGCCAGACTTGTAGAAAATTTTTGAAAACACCATATTAGATAAAAAGATGTATATATGAAACATAGAAAGGTTCTTACAATTCAGGAGCGAGAAGAAAAATAACCTAACTTTAAAATGTGCAAATATTGAATAGTCATTTCACCAAAGAAGATACATGAATGACCATGTTCAAGTAACCCACAGGAGGGCAGGGGAAAAAAAGAAACGTATGAGAGAACAAATAGAAAACAAAAAATAAAATGGCAAACAAACCATAATATATCAGTAATTACTTTAAATTCCAATGTTTCCACATCATTAGACATTAGGCATTTACAAATTAAAATAAGAATTTTACAAATTAATGTTAAGACTAAAGTTAATTTTTACAAATTAATTTGTAGTTTTAACATTAATTTGTAAAATTAATTTTTGAAAACAATAAAACAGCAAACAAGCCACAATATATCAGTAATTACTATAAATACAAGTGTTTCTACATCATTAGATATTTGTAAATTAAAATTAAACTCACAAATTAATTTATAAAATTTATAAATTAAAACTATGATGAGATATTACTACACATTTAATAGAACGGTTACATTAAAAAAATATTGGCAAGACCAAATGCTGGCAAGGAGATGAAGCACCTATAGTTTTATACATTGCAGATAGGAATGAATACCGGCATAGTCACTTTGGAAAATAATTGGTAGTTTCTCATTAAGTTAAAAATACATTTACAATATGACCCATCAACACTACTCCAAGGTATTTATTCTAGGGAAATAAAAACTTATGTTCACGCATATACCTGCACAGGAATGTTTACAGCATCTCTATTCATAATTGTCAAATACTGGAAGCAACCCAAATGTTATTCAAGTGAATGGATAAACAAACCATAGTACATTAATGCAATGGAATACTACTAAGCAAAAAAGGGAATGAACACACATATGGATGAATTTTCAAGTCATTATGCTGAATAAATGAAGCTAGTCTCCAAAGGTTACCTACTGCATGATTGAATGAATATGACACTCTCCAAAAGACAATAATATACAGCTAGAGAACAAATTAGTGTTTACCCAGGGTTTGGAGTGCACAGAGGTAAGGCTAAAAACGAGTAGTACAAGAGAGTCTTTTGGAGTGATTCAGCTGTTCTGTGTCCTTATTTTGATGGTGGTTACACAAATCTATACCTGTGTTAAAATTTGTGGAGCTGTTCACTAAAAAGTTCATTTATACTGTATTTTAATTTAAAAATAAAATAAACAAGGGGGAAAATGATCTAGTAACCCTACAAATTGGATCAAGCATAACATGGAGAACATGTCAAAATGTGATACATTTTAAAATATTCCCATTACTAGGTATTTTTCTTAAGGCAATAAGTAAAAAGAAGTATATTCTGTGCTCCAAGGTAAGCGAATCCCTATGATTTACAATAATGAAAATACTAAACCAAAGTGCTCCCTCTTGATCATTGTTTTGCTGTATTCTTGCCCATGTTTTCATTAAGGAGCTTACTGCCTATTTCAGATGTTTTGCTGTTGTGTTGTGGCAAAGGCAAAGCTTCTGTGTTTGAAGGTAATCATAACAAAGCAGAATTAATAATAAATAATATGAAAAGACAGAGAAATTACTGTAGTCCAATGCAATAATTCAGAGTATACTAAAGAATAGGTGAAAATCAGAAAAAAAAAACATATTTATCAGAATGAGAAAATAGAAGCATGGAAATAATTTATATTAAACCACATAACATTTGATAGAGTCAAGGTCTTTTCTTGCCATTAACATCAGCTAAGAAACAATTGCTTTAGGGTTAATTCTATAGATTTACAAATTCTTTTTGCATATGCTTTATTTTAGTGTTTGCGTATTTAACAACTAAAGTGAGAATCACCTACAAATCCTTATCTTTAATAATGCCTCACAATACATTTTGATTTATTTTGACTTTGAGGCATACATAAGTAGTATTTATATATTTGTAATCGTGTATATATATAACATATATTCCATTTCGTAATTTACAGATTTCTACTTAGTATTATCAATAAAA